GTTCAGGTGTTCACAAGTTTGATTTCTAATAAACCTGGCTCTTAATGTTGTGGAGAAGGAATGGCAGTTGAAAAAGTCTCTTATGTGCTGCAGTAAATTGTCTCATTGTTGAGAGGCTCCGACAGGAAAGACAGATTGGCCAAAACTACTTGTCTTCTCAGAATAAAACTGTGTTTTAAATATTTACTTTCACTCTAAGAGGCATGCTGTGCGGGAATTTACTAAAAAACAATGTGTAGACTGATACATGAGTAATCCCTCACATCATAATTGTGAGGTTGGGGTTTTATAAAAAGGTAGCAACCAGGTGCCGGACCATACGCAGCAAGCATCCAAGAGACAGAGCACTAAAAAAAAATGCAAATATAGCTCGGTGAAATGCCAAACTAGAGTGAATCTGGGGTCGGCTAGTTACTGCTGACAGCTGCAGATGTAAACAAGTCATTTCCAGCTCTGGCATCATTTCCAGCTCTGACATGCTACGAGAAATATGTATGTGCAGTGTCCATGTCAAGGGAGCTCCTGAATATGGAGATAAATAAATACCAACTAAAAGATGAAAGGAAAAACTGCAGCACCCTCCCAAAAAAGGGCCTTTCCTTTGAGAAGTTAAGTGAGGGTTTCACCGACCTTTTGTAACCATCCCTGAGGCTACAGGATGCAGCGCAGCAGGCGTTCCACTATGTGACCTGAACCATGTGTCTTATTTTGAGTCTGAGAAGAACAGGTTGTGTGGCTGCAGAGCTTTGGGGGCTGGTATAAAACCAACAGTTTAAAATTCAATGGATGCACGCTGAAAGAAACAAATAAGCGTGTGCTAAGGACATTGTGCCTCATAAGAATTACATATTCTAAAATGAATATTAATGGGGATATTACAGACTAATTGTTACTCATTGGTTGTCTCTACTGTCAACAAACTGGTGGTGTCAACACTTGAAATGTTTTCTACCAGCTTCTATGCAAAATTCATACATCTTATTCCTTTGGTCTAAAACAGTCCAAAAATATTAGTAAAAATGAAAAACTATGCAAAATCCAAAAACTGGAGTGCTAAAATTTAAATTTGTGCTTTCATATAGTGTATAAAGCCCCCCCAAATATCACATACATGAAATGAAATGGTGAAATGTCATTGAGCATTTGGACAGTCTTTAGCCACCTTAAAAGGGCCCACCTGGAAAAATTATATATTTTATTTTATATTTTATCACTTCATATGTATGCTATGCTACATATGCTATATGTAGAATATTTTCAGCGCTTTACCTTGCCATCAGACAGCCGGAGGAACTGAAGCCCTTATCTCAAAGTCACCAGACTCCACTGATAAAAACAGTGATTTTACTTAGCCGAACACTTTGTCTAGTCCTTTTTTTTTAGCATCTTATTTATCATATTTTAGCCTTATTCTATTTGAATGTGTGGGTATGAGAGTGTGTGTTGAGAGGAATGGAATGGTTTCTTTTATGAAAGACAGCAAATTTCATTGTATGTAAACATGCAATGACAATAAAGGCATTCATTCATTCATTCAATCAAAAATGCTAGCAAAATAACACAGCATGTAAAATAAGCACAGCAAAATGCCTGATAGGTCGGGCGATATATCTTTAAACGTTACTGGTACAGCTGAAAACTGACAACAGAAATAAACATGTTTGCTGATATCACATAACACCGCAACTGAAATAAATTGCCAGCTGTCTACCTGGAAATTATTGTTTTTGTTAGTGCGACATCACTGTGATTCGGTCTGTAAAGCTCATTTAAGTATGAAAATAAAGCAAGTACTTTATGGGTCCACAAAATCACACTTCCATTCATTGATCATAAAGCAGCTACAGACCGTATACGTGGTGACATCACAATTTGAGACTTACTTCTTAGTTTCTGGCTTTATATGAGAGAAGCTCATGTTCACAAATAGTGATTGAACTTCCCTAGGCCATAGAAATAACATAGTGAAATTCTTAATTTAGATGGTGTTCTCCTTGAATTTCTAAATTGTCAGCAGGAGCTGGAGTCTATCCCTCACTGTAGAGGCAAAAGACTCACGCCAACTTTAAATTAAAGTCACTAAACCACCAGACTAGAATATGAGGAGAAATCAGGGCTCTAGCTAGGATTTCAGAAACTATGACTCCAAATCCCTCCCAGTGCTACTTCACCCACCTGAGAAATGTCTGACAAGACCGAAAAATACATGTTGCCTAATATACATCTTCTACGGTTTAAATACTGCTTGGAAAATCCTCCACACTGGCAAAAATATAATTTTGAGGAAGTAATACTAGTTATATTTAAAAGCATTATCTCTAAAATTAGCATCCTTGCCAGTTTTAAAAGGCCCATCATGTGTAATCTGTTATTAAAATCTCCACATTCCCAGTAACAAAACAGAGGACATGACATTAGTGTCTTAAATGGCAGCTGCAGCCCTAAATCAGCATCCAAATGAATAAAGAAATAACACTACTACCCAGGCAGCACCCCCATATGCCTGACTGCCGTTGCTCGCTATCTGCTGCTCTCAGTGGAAGCTTTCATAGATTCATTATAGCTGCAATGAGAACCTAGGCTATCAAATATCTCTGTTATATTCCATAGTCCAGAGAGAGCAAAGTGGCAAATAAATTGGGCTTCCATTCGACTCAAAGCTTGGCTGCCGGCCTGTGATGACTTTCACGGTGTTCTCAAGATCTCCATCATTTCAGGGAGTACGTGACATCGATGCACTTACACAATGAGTCACCGGCACAACCAGAGCGCTGTCACACAAGGGTTATGACATGGCGGGGGGGGGGGGGGGGGGGGGGGGGTCTCCCCCCCCCCCCCCCCCCGCCGCGGGGGGGGGGGGGGGGGGGGGGGGGGGGGGGGGGGGGGGGGGGGGGGGGGGGGGGGGGAGTCTTACTCCTCAGCACTAAATTGTTCCTTAGAGTCACTGGGTATGTGTGTGTGTGTGTGTGTGTGTGTGTCTAAAAGTAAGTGTGTGCCTATTTCTGGAGTGTTTTGCTACTTTGGCCCTGTGAATGCAAATATAAAACGGGGAGAAATGGACGGGGACATTTTAATGGCTTCCTTTCAGAAAAATCAGAAAGCCGGCGCTATATTTGGACGGCGCGAGACGGAGGAAGCCAAGGGGTCTTGGTGTTTAGGCCATCGATGCATTATGGTGTGATTCTAATCAAAGTGACGAGGGTGCTGGGGTCGGCGGGGATGTGCACAGCGTGGCATGGGAAAATAACGTCAGTCAGGGTGACAGCTGTGCCATAATCTACAGCTCCTCTTTGACACTCACCCAGATCAACCACTTATTGGTATAAATAATTCATTACCAAACGAGGACATTAGCATTACCACTGTCGCAGCGGCGCAGGCTGCCTTATGACATTTCACTTGACTGCTCTTGAAGAACAAAGATTATGTTATGTTACATTACATGTTATGTTATGGTTCCACTTAGGAACAAGGTGTGCCGAATTCAAAGCAGCTGCATTGACTGAGAGGGCATTATGACTTTGTTCATGCATTAAGGCTCTGCTATCTGTTATCTACTGTGCATATGAAGAAAGGGATTGCTATAAATAAAGCAAGAGGGGGTGTACTGTAGTAGAGATACATAGATGTCCAAATGGAATAACATTACAATGTTAAGTCCTACTTTTTATGTGGCTTGCCTCCACCCCACATACATCTACACCTAACTACATCACATGTGCAACAGGAAAGAGGTTACCGAGAGGTGTGAAAGAGCAGCGTGAGCCAGGTTTGACCTTTTTAAACATATTGTCTCATATGTTCTCTGATACAGCAGAGCTGCATGAATCTGCAGCGCCAAATCAAAACCCAGACACTGCAGAAATGAGAAACACACAGTTGCTTGAGCAGTCTTTGCACGTTCTGCATCTTTGATATTTTTTTTGACATGGTGTTTTTTTCTTTAACTCATTTGTATGTGTTTACCTCAGGCAGATCCCTGTGATGTGTCTGTTACATACTTACTGCAAGCGAGTGCCAAACATCCCTGAGAATATATTTTTTTGCTTGTGTTTTAAAGCAGTGGTTCTCAAACTTTTTTCAATGATGTGATGTACCCCCCTTTGAAATATTTTTTAGGCCCCTGAGCAGTGTAAAACATTTTGGTTTGAAAAAAAGCCTAGATAAGTTGACAGTTTATGGCAGTTAACAACTGCATTGAAAACAGTAATACTGAATTGAACTTATTATAGTTAGGGATGGGAACCGTTTCAGAACTGTCAGTCCATCAGAATCCTATGTCTCAGTTCTTTTTATCAATGCTGCTATATTGATAGTTGCACTGCAAAACAGTGATGTCAAATTCATGCATCTACACTGCAAACTTGCACCAAGATGGAGACATTGCAGAGAAGAGGAAATGGTCCAAAGTGTGGTGTCATTTCACAACAAAAGATGACAACAGAGCTGCTTGTAATGTCAATAAAATGATCATTTCAAGTAAGAGTAGAAATGTCCAGCTATATGCTGAAACATCTTATGACACTGCTTCCCAACCGAGCAGCACGTCTGTCGCCTGTGTTATAACATTATCGCCATGCCGGCAAGCTTAGCAGGATTTCGACCGTCCAGTTGAAAACCGTTACAAATTACACAGCAGTTAAACAGTCATGCCTTTTTCCCTGCTCTGTTGCTTCTTTGTATTCAGACTGATAAATAATAAAGCAGTTTGTGTCAGTTTTTTTGAAAATTAATCAGGAATCAAGGGAATCTGTAAAGAATTGGACAAATAAGCAGAATTCAAAATGGCTTTGATATCAATTAAACCTTGTGAATTTCCATCCCTAATCATAGTATCATTATTTTATGGAATTGTGCATGACTGATCGTTTTTATACCCTCTACAGTACTCCAGAGTACCCCCATCCCCCCATATTAGAAACACTGTTGTAAAGCCACACAACCAAAAAAAATCAACGTTGCCATTAAAAGTATGAGAGTTACTGTATGAGGCCAGCTACCTGGGTCAGTGGCTGACATAATGGCACCAAACAGGAGGCAATCGGTGAGGAAGAAGTCTCCATCTGCTGCCTGGCCCAACAGCACCATCAGTCTGGTGAAGCCGTAGACGCAGGCCCTGGGACAAACAGACAGAAGGACACGCGGCGAGGTCATCAGGGAGCACCAGCCAGAGCAGGCCTATCAGTCATCACTCTAACCGCAGCAGGGCTTCCCCCCAGAGTAGTGTGGGTAATGGGGCCAGATGCTGCCAGCAGGTGAGTTGACCCGTTTCCAAGCAGCGGCTGCTAAGTGCGGGTGTGACCACACTAGGTAAAATTAAATTTAACCACATTTTTATATGTGTGTGTGTATAGATCGACATGGCCCTTCTTTCCCGTCCTACACCAACCTGCATAATGCATCCATACACATGACAAATACTCTTGTTAGACAGCTTATCTCAGCGCCCATCCATCTTCAGCCCTCCCGTCCATTTTATGCCAGTATTATAAAGACTCAGATATAATAAAAGGGCACCAGAATTATAAGTGTGTGTGTTTGTGTGAGTGCAGAATCCCCCGAAAGACTAAAAACCACGAGGAGAGTAAAGGGCATTGTGACAGAAATAAACCAGAAGCAGTATTTTTATCAGCTCTAGGGCCTGGCAGTAAAACAAATCTAAATCTAACTGTCCCAGAATGCACCACTGTATGCTCTCCGTTATAAAAATACAACACTATGAGCAAAAACTTGCTAACGTGTCCATTTCGCATTCAACGCCCCAATCCAGCTCTCGACTGGTAAATGATGTGTGTTAAGAACTAATCCTGTTACTGTGAAGCATCCCATAATAATCAGTATGCCAGCTTGTCCTCTGGGGAACCTTTCTGTCCACTGGCAAAACTCTGTTACCATGGTGACGGCACACGACCTGTCCCCAAGGCCAGGATTTAAAGTACTGCCCTCAGGTGAGGCAACTAAGCTGTCTTTTGCATGTATCTTTAAGGGAGATTTGAAGTTATGGTAATGACGTGTGTGTGTGTGTGTGTGTGTGTGTGTGTGAGGGGGACACAGAGGCAGTAAAAGAAAGCGAGACAGACAGACACAGACAGAGAAAGGCAGGCAGTGGATGTGCTTGGGCAGTTGAGTCATTAAGGCTCCCTCGCTCCCATGAGACTGTCTTTTCCCCATAGGATACGGCAGACTCACTAACAAGCAACAGGATTGGTCAGGTCTTGGGCCTCAGCATCAAAGAATGTGCACGTGACCCAACATGTCAAACCGTGCCCTGCTTCCCAGGGGGAGCTGCGGAGAGTTTGACAAAGGGTGTTCCCGGGGAAGAAGCAATGTGTGGAAGAAGGGAGGGCGGCGAGGAAAGACGGGATCTTTTACACCGGGTTTCAGCAGGTTGCAGAAGCACGTAAGCTTTAAATATCTACGGGCCATGAACTTTTCTATTGCATATAAAACATTGTGAATCAGTTGCCAACATGCATGACAGTGGGAATAATGACGTGCATAAACAACGAGCACACTAGGGAACTCTTAAAACCAGTAGTAGCTCTATGAGTGTCATAATATGAAAAAATATTGACATTATATTTTTTTATAATGGCAAAAAGAAAGCAACACATTCATCTGGACAAGATAATGCAACCAAATGCAACAGCACTACCATAACCTCTATCTTTACAAAGCTGATTAAGGCTGCAATGATTAATTTTATTTTTAATTTGTTGTCAATTATATCCTCGATTTAGTGGTCAGTTGTTTGGTCTATACAGTAGCAAAAAATATAAATCAGTGTTTCCTAAAGCCAAAGATGGCGTCCTCAAATGTCTTGCTTTGTCCACAAATCAAAGACGTTCAGACGTTTTTTGTTCAAAGACAAAAAAACAAAAACAAACACACAATATTCACATTTCAAAAGCTAGAATCTGAGAAAAAAATACTCACCTGAATAAAAGATTCTCAAAGTAGTTGGCGACTACCTTACCAGTTGACAACTAATTGTTTAATCAACTAATCACTGCACACTTAAAGCCTCTGGTGACAATGTCAGAAATGTGTGAATTCAAGTATATGTTCATTACTATGGTCATAATTGAAGGTGGCATTGCGCTGGACTGCATTACACTGAGTGGTGTTTCTAATTTTGTGTCCTTCCCACTTACATACATGAGGCGGGCAGAATATTAGAAACATCTCTCGATATGAAGCAGCCTAATACAACACTGTCATTAACTCTGACCTCAGTGGTAAAACATATCATTTATTAAACACCTCTATGACAGTGTTGACAGAAACCTGAACATTATAAGCGTCACGCTGTAAAAGCTGACTTTATGGCAGGACATTGAATTGGATTTTTTTTTGCCCAAAAACCCCATGTCTCAAAAATATCAGAGGAAAAAAAACAATTTAATAACATCAATATTATCCTTTGAAAGGTCTTCATAAAATCAGGGGATGTTCTTATTTTTGAATCGCAGAGGATCCTGCAGCTATAGCAGGAAAACAACTGGACTTATGAGGTTTTCACACCGTCTTTGTGAGCATCAGAAACAACTGATTTGCAAAGACCTCAATTTCACTTCAAAGTCTGAGAGTGCCATCTAGTGTTGTGAGGTCAGAACAGCAACTCAGCTCCAAGCTACGCACTAAAGCCAATCAGACATTGATCATTTGATCATTGTAAGTCTTCTGTTGATGTTCACTAAAGTGTTCATAGCAAACATTTTGACTTATGATAGTAAAAAAAAGCATTGTCATTAATAATGATGGCTCTATTTCATGCACATCACTCAGCACCGGGGCTTTGCTATTGTGCGTGCTGGCTCACAGTCACAGCTCACTGGGACACTTGAAACAGAGCAGTAATTAATGTCATTAGTTACACCTGTGCTTTTCCTCCTATGACAAAGGCCCATTGTACCACCATGCAATGCACCGAGCAAACAGAGAAGCCACTCGCAGCTGCAAACAATCTCAGTTAATTGCAGAAGTGATGACACAGCTCCCGAAAGACGTTCATTAAATCTTTGTAAAAGCAGTCTGAGTAAAAACAGTAAATGACATTGTTTTTGTGTGCTGTGTATGAACTGCAAGAGCATTTGACTATGATAATTACTATCTATTGTTGTAATTTACAAATGGTACAAGGCTGCAACTGACAACTAATTTTATTAGAAATTAATCTAGTGCTAGTTATTTTCACGTTTAAATCATTGATTGTTTACTCTATAAAATGACAAAAAAATTCTGATCACAATTTCCTAGAGCTCAAAGTGACATTTTCAACTAGCTTTTTTTTGTCCCACCAACAGTCCAAAACCCAATGACTCTTCATTTACTATCATAAGTGACAGTGGTTAGAGGGGGTACCACATGCACGGGGGCATCTTGCCACAGCGGCCGAGGGTTCAGTTCCAGCCTGTGGCGCTTTGCTGCATGTCATTCTCTCTCTCTTCCCCTTTCACACTTAAATCTGTCCTGTCTAATAAAGGCAAAAGCTGTAAAAAATATTTTAAAAAAGGTGGAACCAGCAACCAGTTGGACATTACTGCTTGAAAAATGACTGAAGCAATTAATTGATTCTCAAAATAGTTGTGCATATGATTACATTTTATAGACTTCCAGTTTGTACCATCTGATGTTCCTCAGTGTCAGACACTAACTGCCTGTGTCCATCTTGATAAAGGTTAAAGGACTGTGTTAACACAAGGAGCAGTGAAAATTAATCCAGGATTTTATTGTTCCGTCCATGACTTAGTTAAAAGGCTCGGATTAAGCACAGTGCAACTACATGAAAAGCCACTGTTCTCCAGTGCCTCACCTATTCTCTCACCTCTGTGCATCTTAAGTTTGTGTGTTGTGTTTTTTGATGTGTGCATTTGTGTGAGTGAACAGGAAAAATGCTTACCCCATGATCAAACAGCTGATTATAGTACCCAAAAATGCAAAGGTCACAACAGATCCAAGACTCTCAATGAATCGCCTCTAGAGCAGAAATGAAAATGAACACCAATTAGTAACATCAAACAAACAGGTCAACAGTATTCAACACATTTACTCAAATTCCAGCAGCACAAACTATAAGGCAAGCCCTTTGATGATGTCTTTTTCCCTGTGCTTGGAGGCATGTCAGGACGCCAGACTCACCTGATTAAGGGTGTAAGCTCCATGGAAGATGATGGGTGGCAGGAACAGATTGAAAAGGACCTTGGGATCAAAGGTCTCCTGTAAGAGACAGAGCTGTTGTGTTGGTGACTGACAGGGCTCCGTGGGGAGCACAGGGACTCCGTTTACTGAATGTGACTGGCTGACAGACAGATATTACACACACATCGTTCACTTCGGCGGCTCTGTTTTGGCAGACAGGAGACAGGTTTTTTTTTTCTTGTTTGAATCCCAATGTCACAATAGTCTCCAGGTACCACGACAACCTTTTCTGTCCTCTCTAGCATATTGTTAACAGGAAAAAGTGTGGCACTCCAGGCATTTTTTTTTTTTTATTGTTCCCACACATGACAATTGCAGTTGTAAGCATTATAGGTGCCACTGCGCAGAGTTAGGTATGCTCCCAACTGTCTAGAAAAACCATCACTTTGCACATTAACCATGTTACTGATTGTTTAAATGCTATGTTAGGAAATTCTTTCAAACAGCAAACTTAGAGCCTTCAGTAAGGCCACTAGATGGGGCATTAGATCACCTTAGAGCACCCTATAATATAATTACTATGTACTGCATTAGCATTCTGTCCAAGCGCCCTGACTCAGACTTTCTCAGCTGATTAAAGCAAAGCATAATACAAAGTGAGAAGTCTAACTAGCTGTGTCAGTGTTCACCATAGAGGCTCCCCAGCGTTCATTACAATGGGAATAAGCAGGGACCGTCCATATCGCCGCACGTGTTGAGACAATAGGCGGATTAACATAAAACAGAATCCCAGCTGCTGATCACAACAACCTACATTACCTTCAACATAAACAGTAACATACAATGCAGGGTATTTTTTAATATACCGTGCACGTTCTCTCTCTGTTTTTCATCCCAGCCAACATGATGCAATACAAGCCGCTCAGATAGGTAGCCTTTCATGTCCTTCATCCTTGAATCCTTTTTATGTCTATTGTGGGTACATTGGGAGGATCAAACGGCAGTGATATTCAATTCAGATCAAAATAATGCTACTTTTCCCTGTTTCCTGCAGCCCACAAGGTCTCATTACATTGCTCAAAATTAAATTCCAGTTCAATTAAATTCCAGAGATGTGGTGGTGATGATTCTTGCTGTAATAGGACTGTGCTCACAGACCATTTGAAATTTTGCCTTATAAGAACAGACAAAATGTTGAAGCAGCTTGATTAGCATGAATATTTGGGCAAATGAATATCGGCATGCTTCTGTCTGTCTTTTTCCAGAACACAGTGCATTTTGGTGAACACTCACAGATGTACATATGGATATATTCCTTTAATTATGATTTCCAATGCTGGAAAGCCACCTATAGAGTATGGAGAGCTTCCGTGCTTTCTCAGTAATTCACACTTGAAATGGTTGCCAGAGCTACAAATTGCTCCCATCTTTCTGCTCCTATCACGTGGCTCAATATAAATTACTTTTTTGCAGCTGCAATTACCCACCCAGCACAATATATATGTATTTCTTCATCTGTGCAGGCTGTGCATGACAAATACAAAATGGCATAACAGAGAATAATACAGATACTGTAATCAATAAATTATGTATGTGCTAGTGGTTTTATTCTAAGGGCCACCTGCACCACAGAGTCCAGGATGGAGGTGTGTTGTACACACTAATTGCCTCTTCAGCTGAGCAGCACTAAATTTAATCAGACCACAAACTTTAATGCTTTACTCCCCAGTGGCACATAATGGACCCAGTAATGCAATGAAATTCTTATCTCTCCCTGCTAGGTCCCCATATGAATCAGGCTTAATGGCGTGAAGGCTACACAGAATGGTCTGACCAATGTAATGGCCTTTGTGGTAGCCTCTGCTGGTTTGCTAATGAGACCCCAGCATTCAAAGGGGCCAAAGAGTCCAAGCCATTAGTGAAGAGTTACACTTGGCCTGGATGATTTGCGAGGTTCATGGTTCACTTACTCCCTTTCTCTCGGGTTGAAATATCTCTGCGAGATTAATAAATACAATTTCAAATACGCTCACCCCATATCCTCTCGTGCTTGTTCGCCATCGTGTGGCTGAATCTCCGGCTCATTGGCTGGTTTCTTTGATATGACAAATCTCCCTGATAGCACTGCCGAAGTACGAGAGCGTGCAAGAAAACAGTAATAATACTGATGACAACCAGAAGCCCATATCAAGGCTTAGGCTCTTCTACTTAGTGATATTAGAGTCTCGGACTTATTTCCTTTCTAACAAATAGTTGCTGCAAGGAGTTTGCAGCACTCTGGCTTAAAGCTGGGGCAGGCAGAGATCTGAGAAAAGACAAAAGAAAAAGCCTAAAGGATTGGAAAATACTCCCTCCTCCTATAGCTGTCCTCTCTCTGTCCTAAGCCCCTCCTACTAGACAACCACAGGCATAAGCACACGCTTCATACAGTAATCCATATCCACTCAGCCCTTCCTTGTCCCACTCTCTCTCTGTTCATCAAACCAGAGACAAGACATGAATTAGTCAGCTTGACACCCCACCGCCCCTCCACCTCACTCCCCACCGCTGTGGACTGCCTTACTGGGAGGAAAGTGGGCAGCAGCTCCAGATGTGTACCTTCAGTCATCAGCTGAAGCATCTCTAGCCAGTGCAAACACTTTATCTTGTGTAACAGCAGCAACAGAAAGTTTGCTGATCCCACTGAGAGTCAGGGTGGGGTTTGCGCTGGCTGGATTTAGGTTGTTGTGACTGATAACTGGGGGAACTTCTCTGGAGCTGCTGCCTGCTCTCCTCCCCGCAAGGTGGTCTGTAGCGGCGGAGAGTGAAGCGGAGAACACACTGTGATTTGAAACTCTAGCTAATGTTTGCTACATAAACATAAACTTGAATCTGCAATTGTGAGCCTTTGGCTCCAGGGAAGAAAAGGCTAAGCTATTAGCAACATTTGCGTTCAGGTCTAAAACACTTCAAAGATAGTGACATTTGTTTTATTGTATTTAATGCCAGACTCTTTTCAAGACTGTTTTTGAGAGGTCCGTCTTCCTGTTTTGGGGTTGCTTTACAGTGTCCCTTTAACTGCAAGATTCTCTGCCACTGAATCCATCTTTCACCGGAGGGATGTGCATGCGCATTTGCATTTGTAGAACAGCCAACAGGAACACCCTCTCCCTGAAAAGACCTGTGATTTGCCAAAGTCCCTCATCAGGATCTAGATTTTCTAAAGCCTGAATACGGAGCCAAGAGGAAGTGAAGAAGTCTAGTTTTCTCTAAGACCACTTCAATTACAATGAGCTCCAAGTTCATTATGGGATTTTTGCCTGGTGACGCCAAAATTAAACTGTCTACCTCAGCTTTAAGGTCCAGTTCTACCTCAAAGACAAAAAAAATACCATAAATATACTGTACTTTGATAAACAATCCTTATATGCAGAAAAAAAGTATCAGTATCACTTCAGTATTAAATAGAGGTCCAACATTATACTTCTCACATAAACAAAATGACACTAGATCTTTTAATTGTGAAATATAAATTGCAACAACATCTGCCCTGACCAAGCCTCTGTTTGAGTCAGCAGGGTTCATAAACATAACGGCTAAGTGCTAATTAAACTCTCAGCATCAAATCATATGCAGCCGTGCATTACTGCTACATTAAGGCAGCGTTGTTGATATACAGTATGCATAGCCTTATGTGATATGGAATATTTGTTCACAGTATCATAGTTCCCTCCACTTTATAACAGATGGTGGACATTCACATCCATTACCGTGTTCTGTGTCACAGGTTGAGATGGCCATCTCTATTGCAGAGGAAAAAAGCTGCAGTGCCTTTTGAGATTAACTATCTCACATCTCTCCTGCAGTGCAGAGCAATCCGGCACCAATCTCCTTTGCAAGAGTATCTCATTATGGGAACTCTGCATGTAAACACACAACTAGTCAAATGTCTTGAGAGGAGCCCAGATTTCAAGAAGAAATAAACTAGGTTTTGTAATTGTATTCACACTGTTTATGTTCCCAGTTTTTGGCAGGAACATGCTTCTCAGAAAATGTTAACAGAGGGCCTTTTTTGTTCATTGATCAGACCCTTTGTGTTGCTTTATCTACTCTGCTAGAGTCTATGTATCTAGTCTGTTTATTGGTTTCTGTGTTCAGCCGTCTCCTAATTCCCCCTTGTCTGCACCGCACACCTGAAAATGTAATCTCCCCTATCTGTTCCTTAATAAATCCTTAATATAGGTTAAATTGCTCTCTTGCCCTGTTTCTCTCTGTTCCACCACTCTCTTGCTGCCCTAATAACAAACAGACCATGCAAGTAATTTAGAGGAAAACCAATAACTGAGCACCATTAGAGGAGACTGTTCTGATGTAAATACCCAGCATACACCAGGGACGAAATATAGATGTGATCAAAGGAGAGACAATGAGAAAGAAAATGTTATTTCAGACAAAATAAAACTACATCAGAGGAAAAGAAAGCATCCTGAACTGAGCAGTTTGTTTTCACGTGTTCCCACTGCAATATTGACTATGTAGCTTTTTAAAACAAATGTTTTATTGAGACAAGTTGTTTCACTTTCCATTAGGGGCTATGTTGTGTCACAACCTGCAGCTACCCACATAAATAATTCACTTTTGTAACATGTATTTGAAGTGCAGGTCAAATCAAATTGCCATAGTTACCACGTGAGGGGTTGAGACCGGTGGGCATCGCTGGCTGACTCTCCCAACGTGTCTGAAACAGTGAAAGTGTGATGTGATGTTCACCGTCAAGAAGCGAGGAGTGTTGTTAAGAGCACCACAGCTGCACACGGTCTCCATGTCGTCCATATGTTCGCCCCAGTCAAATGACAAGCATCTCAGTGTTAAACCCACAAGCAAGCCTGCAGGAGAATACAAAAAGAAAGACAAAACTGCTGTTGTGGAAAAAACTGGCAAATACAGAAATATTCCTGAAGTGCATAAATCATTATGCAGCTACTGTAATGCATAAAACAGTGGTATGGAAGATTAAAAGAAAGAAGCTCATAATAGGGACACAAATGTAGCACATATAGGAACATGATTTACATTAGATGTTGCAGTAGTGATGAAACAGTAGTGAAACCACAAACTACATACATAATGCATGAATCTAGTATACTACTTGCTGGTGCTATCTGGAGCTACCTGGCATGTATTACACCCTACTAGGTGTAATGGTAGCTTGGATTAAAAGGTTGAGACCAGTGCCAATTTAATTTTAATTTAACCTTCATTTAAAGGAGCAGTGTGTATGATTTAAGAGGATTTAGTGACATCTAGCTGTGAGGACTGCAGATTGCAACTAGCTGAAACATCTCCTAGTTAGAGTACTTCAGTGTCCAGTGGTCTCCTCTCCAAAACAAACTAACCTGGTTGTTAAAATCGTTTAAAACAGGAATAAGCAGTTTCACATTACAAATCAGTTTCTCCGATGTTATTTGGCTTGTCACAGAGGGACCTTTTTTCTCTGATAACATAACATAATCCAGACACTTGGGATGTTTATACCAGGAGCCGAATCATGCGCAGAGGTCTCCTTCTTTCCAAGACAAACAGACCCGGTGATTTAAACTAGTAAAACTCCTGAATGAAGCAGTTTTGTGTTAACAAATCAGTGTTTTTACAACGATGCTTGTTGCAGAGAGGCTGCTAACCACAGTGGCCAATGCAAAAACATGAATGGCCCTATCTAGAGCAAGTGTTTGATTTGTCTGTGCTGGGTATGTCGATATAAATGCCTCATTCCAAGGTAACGAAAACACAATTCTTGTTTTCAGGTGATAAAAGACAACATGCTTATTATTTTACATTCCAATTCCACCAATATATCTCCCTAAATCCTACACACTGGACCTTTAAACCCAGATAGGTCCCAAAAAAAATAAAAAAATCAAGGGAGTCCTGGCCAAGATAGGCAGCAGCACAAGACAAAGTGATTATACACAGACACAAAATAGAGGAGAAGAAAGTACTACAATATATAATACCCCAAGGAACATTGTGGTGTACAAGCCACTTATCCAAAATATCATTTAAAGCACAGATGCCCCAACAATTTTGTCTCTGGGTCTTTCAAAATACATTTAAAAGCATTCAAAATTGTAAAACCCTGTGCAATATATTAGAGTCATGTATCACCACTGAACCAAACAACCACCCACATAAAAGTCAGTGTTGTATTGTGCCTTTAAAATGTCCTCATTCTTAATTTGTTTAGCCTGTGAATTTACATCACATTGCTAGTGGCTGTTGTGTCAGTTATAAACAATTTTAAACTCTGCTTTGCCAACAAGAAAATGGTGAATGAAGCAAAATTAAATGATGTAGCCGATATATTCCTATTAAGGTGTCAAATCTGACCACATGTGGCTAAAAATTGGCTTTGTTTTATCACCATTTTGGTATTTTATTACAACTGTGAGTTCAGGAAGTGTTGTATAATAACGGCTTCCGTACTCGATGCTCTGAATTGGCTCTCAGCTAACGTCACTTACCATAAAACATTGCACCTCCAGTTTCATTTATAAGTCTATATTTGAACTGTTTTAGCTTCCACACACTGAGAATAGTCACAAGTGCCAAGCCAACTGCTACCAGCACCGCCAGTGTGGTGCTGTCTTGATTGTGCTTGTCAGTGTGCGACATCTTCAAAGCCGAGGTCAAACTTTTCGGAAACAATTGCTTTCCTTTGTGATTCAATTCAGCAGATGCAACATCCGCATCAGCAGCGCTCGAGAGCCTGCGGCGCTTTTAGGGATGCACGTAAATCTCAGTTTTTGTCTTTTACGCGTCAGGAAATAGCCCTGCACGTTTATAGAAAACATATAAATTGATAGAGAGATGCAGCTGTTTTGCTACAGAGCTAAAGCAACACATGTGTATGAGGCGTGCTGCGAGTAAAATGCGAGAGCAATTCATCTCGTTGTATTTACTATGCTTTAAAACAATTCCAGTATTCCCCACTGTATTTAAATGCATCGTGCTTTGGGTGTCAGCCTCTCATATTCCAGCAGATGGCAGTGAATGCAAAGTAATGTCCGCAGAGCTCGTGGGAGCCCACTGTGAGAGGCCGGGACACTGAATCTCCACTTCCTGTCCCTTACCACTAAGTGAATCAGTCATGGTCCTTAATTAGTTGTAATTAATTAAGTAATCGTTATGTTATTCTTTCATTCGCTTCAACTGTTGTACAAAACTATTAAAAACCTTTAAAACTACCTTTTATAAATGTGTCAACCAGTGTTGCCCTTAGGCTGTGAAATTAAACACCTTAAATTGGGCCCACTGCTCCTGTTACACGTGCAATTGCTGGTGTATAGACAAGTCTAATGTTCAACAGATGATGCTGCCTGATAAAGAAAAGCAGGTGCTGTTTTTTAAATGAAGCTGCGGTAGATTTACAACGCAATTAAATATGTATGAACTGTTATCTTTGCATTCCCCTTTGTCTCAGTTAAGGTGTTTTTGCAGGATGGTCTCGTTGTGATTATGGATTCAGTGCAGTTTTGACACTGACACGTGATTTTGGTGCGGTTGTAGCCACATGAATCTCTTGCAAAGATGTATTCTTACAGCAAAGCACGATAATATTACTGTGCATACCATTTTTTCGACTCTTAATTTTTTTTATTTCATTAGATTTAATATACGGTTGCTTTTTATGGCAATTTGAGTTAAACTATATTTTTTTAAATTATGTTACTATCTTCAATCAAAGGTTGCTTTTAGTCTGACGGAGTCACTGAAGGGTAAAAAATAGAAATTTAGTCAAACTTTGCACTGGGGGCGGCGTTCCAGACAAGACAATATTAGAATAATCGCCTAGCAACCGCTGCCGTAAAGCGGCGGCGGGTGTCGTAAAGGGCAAAGAGGCTGGTGTTGAAAAGAGTCGAAACAGAACCCATTGTGGTGTTGGAGAGGAGTGAGCCGCTGCCTGAGAGAAGAAGAAAAGAGGCAATTCCGTGACCACAAAGGGACCCATGATACGCGGACAGATATGGACGTGAACGCACAACACGGACGCTGTTGTCCTTTGTGAAGAGGACCGCCTCGTCCAGTCGGAAAGATCCGGTATATGAAGAGTTAAGACTCTACATCCCAACTGTTTATTTCAGCAGCTAGCAGGCTAGCTGGCTAGATACCTAGGAGCTAGACATGGGGAGACCGTGTGAGTTTGCTTGATAGAGATCTTCGTCGAGCTTTGAAGAAGCTGTTTTCGGGTTAGATACTGTCGGAAATGATTTAAAGTATCCGTCGCCCGCCGTGTGAGTAGCCGCAACTTTAAAGAATGATATCAACTGAGCGCTAAGCATTACACTACTACAGATCTGGGGAGGAAAAAGTCATACAGGTTTGTTCCACAGTTTTCTTCTTCTCTTTGCAGCCCGTCCTCTCACTGAACTCAGCCTTTAACAATATAAAATGGCACAATATGAATTTATGGACATTTTTTGCAGCCTCCACTTGAATAACTGACCAATAAAACAAAAAATCTCAGTTTTTAACATTAACCTAAGAGCAAGCTTTGCACTCAGGGCGTCACTGTTGCTACCCCAGAAACGATGAAGTGATAAGATATAATACTAGAAGACAGTTTTTAGAAACACACTCTCTTATCTGATGCCCACATCCGCTCAACAGTGACAGAAAGTTTATTATTACTGCTATTAGAGCTGCTGCTGGTGTTATTTTGCTGCAACACAACTGTCTTTGAGATCTCAAAATGACCGTTTGGTGTGTTACCTGCCCTGCAATTAGTCTTTTGTTTATGCTGGGGTTTTTAGAGAGCATTAGTCATGTCTGTAACCGGTACCTGAACGCACCTATAGAATAATACAATGCACAAAACTGCACAGGAGTGTCCCTTAAACCTTTTAAACATGAACTGCTTTGTCAATTTGTATGCAGATCATGTTATATGATAGCAAAAGCATTGGTGTTGAGGAGGTATTTATTTGCATATTAAGTATTTCCTCAATAAAACATTTTTCATTGCTTCGTGCTTGCTTAGCACTTCAGTTTCTATCACTCAAATGAAAGTACCTCAACAGGTCTCCACTTGGCCAACGTGATTTGGATTGATTTGCTGTGTATTTGTCTTCCTTGTTGGCGTGAGCCCTGTGCCCATCACACAGAAAGGTCCAGGCGCTGAAAATGAAAGAGCAATTTGCTGTAATAGCTAAATTGACTTGACCATGAGATGTTGGCGATTGCATGCTCTCTGCAAACTTCTGCCCTTGATTGCCTCAAAGGAAAAAAAAATGTTGCCACAACAGTCCTGCTGTTTGGTTAAAGTCTGTAATAAGTCCTTAGGAATTTCTTTTTACAGTCTAATGAATAGAACGGGCTGCTTGGAATTAATTTTTCCATAACAGGAGACTAATTGTGGAGCCTTTCTGCAAGGTTAGGCGACAAGGGAACTATGAAAATAGACGGATACACTTAAGACTTTCTGCTGGTGGTTGATTTGAATGTTTCTCAACGCTCAGCGGGGGAACGTCTTGTAATTGTAGCCTAAAAGCTCCCACAGGAGCAGTATATTTTTGTTTTTGACCTCCAAACTCACCAAATCAAACTCTGATAGAGCAACTCCTACAACAGATGGAGCCACATTAGGAGTGACCTTAAATGAAATGAAAAAATGCCTGTCAGATGATCAATTTAATTCCTCCCGCCTAACTCCAAACATATTTCCCATTTGTTCAAAGCGAGGCTTGTTGTGACAGCTTGTTTTAATGATTCCAAGTGTAGCTTCACTTAAGACGACACATTTGTTTTGCAGTGGCATTAACATGAGATTTAAAATGTATGACAACTTTTCAAACTTTTACAGATTGATGCTGGCGCGTGAGAATGTGCAGCTGTTTAAATTAAACAAAACAATCATGTTATTGGTCAAAGAATCCAAAGCAAGCCTCTCCTCGTTCAAGTGCGTCCTTCCAAACAGCTGCGTCAGTTTGGCGCAAAGCAGATACCATTTATATTGTTATTTAAACCTCTGTCGTTTGATTTGGGCCAGAGATGAATGGACTAATGCTCACATGGGGATGCCGCTAATTGGTGCTTATATTCTAAGGACTCAATTTTCCATTAGGCATGGGAATGTTACTGTCATTTGTATCTATCCATCACTGTCTATGTGTTTGCTGTACTGAGGCAACCCGGCTGTGGCTGAATGTTTTTTTGATCAAACATTATTGACTCCCTCAGTCGATAACCTTGGCAACAGTAGTTCCTCTCTCCAGCTAGAGCCGTACATTGCAATGGAAAGGGGTGGGGGGAGTTCGGAGCTTTGAGTAGGGCTTGATGGTAATGCCGGCATTCTCCGTGGGTAGACGCGTCCATGTGTGTGTTTGTGTGTGTCCATTCAGAGACGGAGAACTGCTACTCTGTATTCTAGTGATCTCTTCCCATTCATTTCCATCACAAGAGCAATAACTCAAAGTTTCTCTCACCTTGCTGTCCATTAGTTATACGTTGGTTATATCTCTCCTTTCTCCATTCCCCCCCCCCCCCCCCCCCCCCCCCCCCCCCCCCCCAACCTCTCCAATGTATTCCAGTCCTTTTCAGCACTCCCTCTTTGCACTCTCTTTTGCATTTCCAGTGGAATTAATCAAGCATGTTCATGTGTGGCTTGACTTCATTATATCATAATGAAGTTTAGCCTCAGGTGCAGTGAAGGAAATGGGTTAGCCCGAGAGTAGCCTTGCCCTCGCACACCATTATCGGAAACTGGCTTTACACAATGAGCTGTGGAAAAGATTATTCAAGACGGAAATTTCCTTTTCAACCCCTTCTTTCTTATCTGGGTTATTCTGTCAGAATCTAAGTTTTAATAAAAGTTGAAATATTAGGATATTACGATGTCATCTCCCTCTGTCCCGACCTTTGTCATTCTGTTTTAAGCCAACATGGGGCCTGTTGCTTCATCTTGCGCCGTTTCTGTCCCAGTAATGAGCCATTTTGCGGCTCTTAACATCTGCCAAACTTGGAACATTTTGAATGCGAGACTCATCTCCCATGCATGAGGAGTCAGGCATCCTTTGATTTGCCCTCTTTTCTTTGCCTCTCTTTCGAAGCGCTCACCGCAGTACTTTGTAGACCGAGTACGCTGAAAAACTTTCTTACCCCAGTTTTGGCAGTGGCTTCGTATGATGAGAGGTAATTTGGTGCTTACTCTAAACAGGGTTTTCCTCATGGTATTGTGCATCCCTCCTTCTTGCAGAGTGCAGAAGGAGCAGAGGCACTGTGGGGGGGGAATGGAGGAGAGGGGGGGCTAATTCAAAACACAAGTTTTCTGTGGGCACAGTGAGGTTTGTCTGAAAGAAAACACTGCTTTAAATTTCACTGCCCTTCTATTCCGCTGGGTAACATCTGTGTTAGAATACAAAGCATCTGGCTTTAATTTAGAGCTTTTGGTGAACTTTACCCTTGTCAAAAACCTGAGTAGGCAACCTTGAGGTCTATACAGTCCGTCCTCTTCCCTGCCAGTCCTGTTAAATAACGCTCAGCCATAGGGTGGCATGCAGCAATAGACGGAGAGGGAGTTAAATAAATAGTCTTGCAGGTGTGAAATTCACAAGAAGCAGTCTAGTGGGGTAATTACCCGGGAAAAATATCCCCATCTTAAATGACCATGCATCTTTCCAATAAAGCTGAATGTTGTGGTCTTATTCACACTATTACTCAGCGTGTAGTCGCAGCAATAGCGGGCTATAAAAACTCTAATCTAGTAGCATTTCAATCCTTATCCTCTCCTGCTTCATGCAAAACAAAAGTACAGGATCAAGGATAAGCCATCAGTGGCAGTTTCCTGCGTTTCACTGTCAACACTTTAAGCATTTTAACACCTTGGTTCATTAACAGAAACAAAATGCAGTGTGTGGCCTATCCTTTCACTCCAGCAATTAGCACGGTCATTGACATAATCCAGGTAACGCTCCAAAGGTAATTGAGGCCTAACCATTTCTCTGGAGAGGAGGAAGAAGCCATGCATCCTCCCAGCGTTAACCACCAGCTCGTGCATCTCATTGCTCTGCAGGTCTTGTTCGGGGCTTTTTCCGTCTTGCCCTGGCCCTGTGATGCTTTCTCTTTAGGATGATCATCTTCTCGGCCCGACTGAGGTTACGTTTTGAACTCTTGAGCCTCTTCCTGATCCTGGTTAAATCTCATATCTGCTCCCAAGATCTTTGCAGGCTCGTCTGTGCTGCGACTGCCTGTGTTAGATGCTAAATGGCACTTGAATCGAGATCTTATAGCAACGGGATATTCAGTTTTCCCCTCAAGCAATCAGCTCCCCCTTGCTCCCTGTAGTCAAAGGCACAAGGCACACATCCTTCTGGCTCCTATTGAAGTTGTTGTTTTTAGGGGGGTTCTTCATACAGACATTGTTTCTTTATTTCCCATCTCCCAATCCATCTTCCGTTCCCAATTTAATATGAATATCTTGTAGAATTTTAATGAATTTTCCCCTGACACTATTAAACTATTGTGTTGGTGTTCTTTTTAGCTCATTCTGAATGGGTGCAACTGAAGGGTTATTTGGTTATTCATTTATCACAGTGGAGGCATTTTGTTGAAGTCAGCTTGATGTGGACCTGCAGTTTCTTTATTAAGCGTGCCCAATGAAATGCTGTTTCAGACTACATGCATGAAGAAATGTCTGTTTTTACATTTTAACGTATGCAATATCTCAGATTAATGTGTGCATGGAGTTGTATTTTCAAAAAGTGTCCTTTCAAGGATTAATTCCCAAAGCCTAAAATTACCATATCATTGTGCTGTTCATTATAATGAAAAAATAAATAAATGCCGCCTCATGTCTTTGGAAATTGTGACACATTACCATTCAGATTTACAGTAGCTATTTGGTTCAGAGTTCAAAATATGATTAAAGATTGCTTCTGTTTAAAAGATGCAAAGCAACTCTCATTATCTCTACCTTGTTTATGGCACAGAGAAGAAAATCATATGCTCACCGTTGGGTCACAGAGTTTTTGATTTGTGGTGAGAATAGAATAAAAACGCATGAATCATAGTTTTCTTTTGCTTAAAAAAAATTGTAGTGCAGCCGTCTGTAGTTCCCCTATTTGGGTACAGTCTATTTTTATGTTAGTGATGTTGGCCTGATCTGCTCAAGGTATTTTCAGACAGGTAAGAACGAGTGTATTCATCTTCTTATCAGACACTCCACAGCCACACATCTTCCATAACCGCTGCTCCCTTGGCCGCCTCAAGCCCCTGTGTCTTTCTAGATCTCAGCCACTTCGATCTGAAGGCAAAATGCAAGGAACCCATCGACACGCGCACTAATCACAGTAGTGTGCCTGCTCGTTAGCCATGCCCTCTCAAGTCAGCTGTCCTAATAGGCATGTCCTAATGAGCTCTAATTGAGGATAGCTAATTTGCATGGCCTGAGTCATTGTCTTTCTTAAAGCGACTTATAAGACTTACAAGACTCATTGCTAAAAAGCTGATTGGGGGGTCTGACATGGCTTCATCATGGGCAGGCTACATGGGGGCTTGCGAGGCTTCTGAGAGCATTGTTCTTGCACTGTGAGCTCAGATACTCGTCTCTTTCTTCCTTGCTTAGTTCCCACCGTTCCCTTCTCTGCTGACATCGATATGCCTAATGGAGGTATTCACAGATTCTCTCTCTCACCCCCTCAACCACGGACGTTATTTTAGTGACACCAGCCATTTTCAAAGAAACAACTTCAAAGCGTGATTAAAACGAAGCAGGGCAACTCTGATCAAAGGTTAAACTACGCACAGCGTGACTCTCTTCACAATGCAAAGCGAGATTTCTCCATTTGAAGTGAGAAGGAGAAAAAAAACTCAAGACTTCCGAGCTCAGAATAAGTGTTGAGGTATGCAGACGGCGTGTTATTTTGCTGTGCATCGGAAGAAAAGTGATGGATACTTCTGATGCAGCGAGGGAAGGTCCTCTGAGGAATCATCCCTTGCAGTGCTGCACATTTTATTTATACTTGGAGAGGATGTTGTACATTTCCTCTTAATTTGATCACTGACACTTTATTTTCCCCTTTTCCATACTTTTATTTATCTTTCTTATATTGGGGGGGGGGAGTATACAAGAAATGATTTCCCAAAGAGAAGGCGCTCAAACAGACACAGGCAGGTTTATTACATTGGCTGTGGGCCATCTCATTTCTGCTCAAAAAGTAATGAAATCTCTCAAATGACCCAAGCAATTCAAATTTGTGAGACGATTTCATATACCAGGGAAAGTGCTTTTTTGTTTTATAGGTCGTATCACATGTTGGGACTTTGGTGTTGAAGTTGCAGGGCTAGCGGAAGAAAAATAAGATCAATCATTTTCACTTGGTAGCCATGTTATTCGTGTTATGAAATGCAGCTTTTCTATTTTCCCTGATGTAATGTCTTCCCCTCTCCCTTTCTTTGCTTGATTTCAGGCCTGCTGGCTCGAGGTTGCACACAAACACCAAGAAGGGAGAACATGACTCACTGGCCTCTGCCAGAGCCTGGCACGGGGCAGCTGTGCCAACCTCGCCCCTGCCTGCCGCTTTAGAAGCTACCCCTGTACATCATGACGGAGAGGCTTTGAGGTTCGCTCCCTGACGATCGTCTCAATACCTCTCCTTCTCCCTATCCCTCAAGAACCCCCGTCCCCACCATGCTGCGCTTCCTGCCTCTCAAACTTGGCCGCCTGTACCGCTGTCTGAAGCTCTTATTGGTTGTAGGGTTGTTTGTCATCTTGTTGATGAACACCCACAACCTGTTCGCCTCCTTCCAGAAGAATGAGCTCACTGACAGACGCTTCATCAACCTCAACAAGTGTCCCGCCTGCTTTGGCACCAGCTGGTGCCGCAAGTTCATGAACGGCCAGGTTTCCTTTGAAACCTGGGGTCGCCTACGATTCCTAGACGTTTTCAATGTCAAGAATGTTTACTTTGCCCAGTATGGTGAGCCCAGGGAGGGCACCCGTCGTGTGGTGCTGAAACGACTCGGCTCCAACCAGGAGCTGGCTGAGATCGATCAGAAAATCTGCAAGAGGGCCACAGGCAGGCCGCGCTGCGACCTCATCCAGGCAATGTACAAGACTGAATTTGCCCGGATCAACGGCGACGTTCGTCTGCTCACTCCAGAGGTGGTGGAGGGCTGGTCAGACCTGGTGCACTGCCCCTCTCAGAGGCTGCTGGACCGCGTGGTCCGCAGGTATGCTGAGACCAAAGACTCAGGCAGCTTCCTGCTAAAGAACCTCAAAGACACGGAGAGAATGCAGCTGCTCATGACCTTGGCATTCAACCCGGAACCGCTCGTACTACAGGTAAATGTAACTTTTTTTTTTCAGTGTTTTCAGGACAGGTGCTGTTTAAATCAACATTTGCATGTGGTTGAATTTTAGGCTTTTATGGTTACTTTTGATTTTTTTGAGTTATGTTTGACTATTACTGTCTTTGAAGAAAATATTGCATCTTGATAAAGAGATGTCTGTCAGCTGATCTGTGGCACCAGGTGTTTTCAGAGTTGTCGATAAGGCACGGCTCCTGGATTACCTTTGCTACAAAGAGGATAAGAGCATCAGTACAAAGCAAGTCGGGGTGTTGGCCCACAAAGCCCCCAGTAAATTACAGGGTGGGAATCCTCCTTTTCCTTCCTCTTCCACAGATCTGAGATGAGCCATTACACCCCCCCTAAACTCTAGGCTACATCGAGACTACGCATCCGCTATTTGGAGCACGAACATTCCTCTGCCTAGAATAGAGAGGGGTTTAAGAGCTGTGGCCTCCCAAAAGATGAGAGATTTTGGCTGGCGGCAATACTGCATATTTAACACTATATGTAGGGCAGTTTTGAATTATTCAAGAATGCATCTGTAAATGGTCCAAGTTGTTTTTAATTTTAATATACGTCTGTGTCCGCTGGATCCTCTTCATCTGTAGGAGACAGCACGTAGAGGGATCTCTTACAGGGCTGCTAAGTGGTATTAGTACCAACATTCTTGATCCTTCGCTAATCCTCCAAAATAAAAGCTTTTTAAGTTTTTGACCTAGAATAAAGATTTGGTTGTAATTTACAGCTTGAAGGAACTGACAGAAACCCAAGATACTCTTGCTTTAAAGGTCCAGTGTGTGGGATTTAGAGGATGTATTGGCAGAAATGGAATATGGATGTTTTCATTAGTGTATAATCACCTGAAAAAGGAATCGTTGTGTTTTTGTTACCTTAGAATGACCCATTTTTATCAACATAGGTAGCTGGTCCTCGTCCATGTTTCATCTTTCTACAGTATCCCAGAATGGACAAACCATACACTGGCTCTAGATAGGGCCATGTTGGCCACCTTGTTTAGCTACCAAACAGCATCAGAAAAACACTGATTTTTAACATGAAACTGCTTTGTGCGTTGCTTTTACCGGTGTAAAACACTGAGTCCGTTTGTTTTGGAGAGGAAGAGACCTCTGTGGATAATTCGGCTCCTGGTAAAAATCTCCTGAATGTCTGGATCTTTAAATTATGAGAGAAAAAAGGTGAGCACACATTAGCAGGTGCTCGGCTAGAAGCTCGTTGCAGCGTTGCAGAGACACTGATTTGTAAGATGAAACTGTTTTATTCAGTGTTTTTACTGGTTTTAATCACCTGGTTTGTATGTCTGCGGATTTTCAGCTGGTTGCAGTCTGCAATCCTTACCGCTGTAAGCTGCTAAATCCTACACACTGCTCCTTTTTGAGTAGTTTTGATGAGACCGATTGAACATTTAATTTTTGATACATCATCATCACTGTATTGTGCTTCAGCGTTTAAAATCCTTAATTGACGTAGATTAAATGGTACATGCTGCCAAAATCAAAACGCTGTAAACCTAATCATCTTTGACACCAGGTTAGGAGTAAAAGTACGTCCCACCTCTATTCCATCATCCTGCGTGTCAGAGCGGCCATACTGTGTTATATATGTCCTCATCCTGACTGATTTACAAGCAGCCAATCAATTTCAATTTCAATCTGGCATTGGCCGTGTCGGAACAACAATGGTCATGGCTCGTGTAGACATTCAATAACTTATGGTGACCTCCAACCCCCCTTACACATAGTGCCAGACACCTCCAGGCATTACAGAGGACAAAAGGCGAGATCAGCCTTTTAGTCTGGACGATCTATAAAATCTGATTAGCCCTGTGTGGTCGCTTGCCCTTCTCTTCCTTCCTTTCTCGTCTTTTCTTTCTCATTTTGCCTTTCTCCTCTTCTGTGTCATTCTCCTATATTTTCCTGTCCGCTTGTGTACGCTCCACAAACTCTGGCCAGATAATTCCATCAGTGTTTTTAATGCCATTATGCCCAAGTTCAGAGGCTCTGTGAATCACCCCCCCCCCAACCCTTATCTTGCACAAAGCTACAGACATCACACACCAACACATTACACACACACACATTGTCCACGGCTCTCTTCACTCTCTGCTTCGGCTAGCCTTTGCATGTTTACAGGGGCCTCATGAATTGTTGATCTCACGCTGAACTTGTGACCTGCGGGTATGAGAAAGAACAGTAGGGTCTGTGTATGCAGCAGGCCAGGGGTAACAGATTACAGGCATGGACTTTTGTGGACGCGTAACATACAGCTAAAATGTTCCAGACATCTCAGAGATTCACAGGAGTGCCTTGACTGTTGGTCAGCATCACTGAACTCAAAAGATGAGGAGAAAATTTGCTGAGAGACTGAGAGACCCTATACACAAGGTTGGGCAGCAGTGGACCATAAAGAATTAATAGCGTCTATAGAGATTGAATAGGAGATGTGCTGTACTACAACACCTTAGTCTCCGGTTTTTTTTTTGGTTTGTTTTTTTTTTTTTTTTTTTTGCCAGAGGTGAGTGCTACTGCGTGGGGACTAGTTTTAACAAAAGGTAGAGGAATGTGGGCTGAGTTTTATGACCTGCTATTTAATTAAACCTGATCTTTATTTCGACTGTTTATCGCGCTGCCTTCTTGTCAGGCCTTGAGCGATTGTTTCTTTTTGCTCGGTTGTTTTCAAACACCTCTTCAGTAAGTTGGAGAGGCTGGTATCACTTGGCGTATAATTTAAGTTTGCTATATTTAGCGTAAATGATTTCTTAGTGTCGCTGGTTGCCAGTGCTGTGGTTTCGGCTTTCTTTCTCTATCTCCTTTCCTCTGGCTTTATACAGTTGAATAATGTCAATAACATTTCTGCCGTCTGCTCAGTGAGCTGCACTCCCTCTCCGAATGGCTTCTGTTTCCAGTCTTTTGAAGCCACAGGCAGTAAATCGGCCCTGTTTCACTATGAGAAACCAGACCTTCTTTGTCAGTGGGAAACAATCTGCTGTGTTGTTTCGGGTCTGTCCAACAATGCATTTCCTTTGTGCTCTGTGGTACACAAGCATGCACTCACACACTCACACGCACAGACACACACACCACCCCCACTCATGTGTCACGTGGAAGACAATTTGGCTTTGGGGAATAAATATTTTTGGAAGACAAAATGACGATAGCCAAACAAGAAAATCCTCGTGCAATGAGAGAGGCACCTTATGCAACTTCATCTGTTTCCTCTCATTTCAATGCAGATTTTCTTAAGGTTTCACAGAGAAGTTGGCCTGGAACAGTTATTCTGCTACTGTGTCTCTTTGCCAAGCAGAAAAATTACATGACGCTGTTTAATTTTACCTCTCATTTGACAGTAACGTGGTTTGCAGGAAATATGAGTAATAAATTCTTCTCATTTCCCCGACTGGAACCTTATTTGCCATCCTTGGCTTCTCTCCTTCGGCTAGATGACTCACTGATTCATCAGGTGATGGTTGTGTTTGATGGAGTACATCTGGCCCAACCTTAAATTAGTTCGATTTAGCCTAGTCCTCCCTTCCAAATCATTAAGCTTGGCGAATTAGCCAGGAGCATGTGACTGCGCTCGCACCCTTTTTGGTCCTCAGCCCTGTCTTGCTCAGTGAAGCTGAGAATAGGATGTGACAGGCCTGTGGGGTTAACGCAGTCATCTCCTCCAGACTCAAATCTGCGCTCTCCCAGACACCCCTTTCTCCCTTGTTTTTTATTACCATCTCTCCCCACCTTCCACATTTCCACCTCCTCATTCAACACACCGCCCTCACCTGACACAATACTCATCAGGAGGCACGAACCTCTCACGCAACACCGTCTGTTTTTCCCCAGAACACGGACGTCTTGACACTGATACTAAATCGCAGGAGAGACGGAAGCCAGAGATTAGATGGATGACCTTATCTCCTATTCCTCCTAAGATTCTTGACAGCAGCATTTTACGCAAATGTGAAAGTAAACATTCACAGCGCTTTGAGCAAACACACTAGCAGCTTGTTTGAATTTTCTAAAATGGGGGGATGCCTCTTTGGTATGCTGTTGATTTAATGAGGCTCTGCATAATCTATTACGATGCTCATCCACTTTGGGAAGCGAAGCCAAAGTAAATAGTATAAATTCAGGGGGTTTTTTTCTTGGCACAAAGTGAGGCAAAGGTGGTGCCTCTCACTGTGACCTACTGAACCTTGATTTATTTGTTAATAGGGAAATAAATGCAATCGGGCCACATGCTGATGCGCAACCTTCCTACAGCAGCTATGAGTCAGATAATCTTATAACTGTATAATTTGAAAAAATGGTAGTGATTTAGTGTCAAGATATGATTTAAATGAAGAATGATTAAGTATTACATCAAAATGATTGCACATGCCATCTCCTCTTTAACACAAAGGCAAGCATTCTTACTGTATGTCAGAGGCTATACATGACGTGTGTGTGAGTTGCATACAAGTAAAAAATATTTTCTGTATAGCTGTCAAATATTAGAAAAATAAGTGTGAAAATTAGACTTTTTGCATGCTCACAAAATGTCCAAATAATGTATAAAAAGCTCTTCTTATTACCGACATGGTCATGTTCTGACCAAGCATGCACATAATTTTAGCCGTTACTGTATATTGTCTACGGTGGAAAAGCTCTGCAATCTTATAGTCTGGCTTTCTGGGTCATGCCTCTTTACAAAGAGGATCAAAGCCCGCTTTGTTTTTAGTTTTATTTATTTCTTTTCATTTAATCACAGACACTGCATGCTATCCTGGCTTAAGTAAGAGCCTTCTGTCTCTAAGGCCGGCTCAGTGGCTGAGGTCCACCGGTAAATAGTATTTAAGTTGCTAGTCTGTGATTAGAACCTTTTGTTTTTGGGTCTGGGGGATTGTGACGCTCTTAGCACATAAGAGAGGAGGTTGTGTACGCCGCTTAACCCTGCTTCAAGTGCTCCCAAACCCCCTTTCATTATTCTTATAGGCCTTTG